ACCAGTGAACTCATGGTCATGTTCTAGAAAGGTGGTGCAGCATCCTGCTGGAAGTAGCCATCAGAAGATGGGTCAGGGTTAGGAGGATGCAGCTGAAACCCAGACCGAACCGACCAGGAAAGGTTTCTCCAGTCTGGTCCGGTTCTGGTGGTCCTGTGGGGATCTTAGCCTCAGGATCCTGTTCTTAGCTGACAGGAGAGACTCCTGATGTGGTCTTCTGCTGCAGGAGTCCATCTGGAACAGCTGGTGGGGTTCTGCTGACCATTTCACCCAGACAGCTGCTGCTCCCTGGATTTAACATTTTTGCTTGGCTCCAATTCTCTAATCCTAGAGATGGTTGTGGGTGAAAACGCCACGCCTAAGGTTCCTCTGATCTCTGTTCTTTTAATGCTCAGTCGGTCGTCTTCACCACGTCTAGATGTCTAAAAGCATTGAGTCAGTCTTTTGCGTTTAATTTATTTAACAGTAACATCTGAATAAGTGTGGTGAGAGCGGCTGCGTGAGGTGCCGGCTACCCGCTTCGGTGTTCAGCTTCGTAAATAGCACTGTGATGCAAAACCTTGTGACCACACAGCCGCACAAACACACACCCCGCCTGCTCTGCATCATCAGTCGTGCTGAAAAAACAGCCATTTTTGTTTGAATACAACAGACAGTTGGACTAAATATATGTAAAGAATGTGAAAAAAACCTTCAAATGTATTCATGTCAAACCATCAGGAGCAAGATGTACTTCTAAAAGACGCATGGTGTCCTCCTTCACAGGCCGGGTGTCTTTATGGTTTACTGTCTACCTGCCTGTTGAACAGATGTGTGGTCAGAGTTTACGGGATGATCATCAGTGATGGACCTGATAGTGTAACGGTGCATTATGCATGAGGGTGAGAGGACACCAACAACAGGAAGCTTCCTGTAGAAGATGGCTAAAAGTCACTGAGTCAACGTTTAAAAGGCAAGACCTGATTTTTCTGAAAGGTGGCTGAAATCTGTGAATAAAAAAATATCTGTCATTTGTTTAGAGAGGCCATGTGGGGCTCTGCTGCCTCCACAAACACCCCGAAGGTAAATAAAAACACCACTTTTTTTCTTTCAGTGTTTGGTTTAAGGAATCGTCCCTAAAACAAGCTGCTTCAAAACATCCTTGTTTGTGATGTCACAAGTGGGGAAATTAGCATCAACCCCATCATCATCAATAATGCTGACTGCAGCAAACGGCAAAAACGTAACGCACGCACGCACGCACACACACACACACACACAGGTTGGGGCATGGCAAGGCACATTACAGTTAATGTGCCACCTGTAAATATTGGTGGGGACAAATCTGTAAAAGAGGAGGAAGGAAAGACAAACAACCCTACAGAAAGTTGGACAGGCAGCAATATTTGGATAGATTTTAAAGGCACACTTGGCAGTTTTGCTTGCTTTTAGCACCCCCTAGTGTCTGTTAAGCCCTCATCTACAGGAGTGACTTGTCATCTAAAACAAAGCAAAGGGGGTCTGATCGGTTGGGTAGATTACAGGCTTGTCTTGAGGACATAAAAAATTGGATGACTCTAAACTTTTTGCTTTTAAATCAAGACAAGACGGAAGTTCTCATCTTTGGACCAGAAATCCAGAAAAGGAGATTGCTTAGTCAATCACCTGACTTAAATGGCTTTACATTAATCTCCGAGAACAAATTAAGGAACCTTGGTGTTATCTTTGACCAGGACATGTCATTCAAATCACAGGTTTCACAAGTTTGTAGGATTTCCTTTTTCCACCTTTGGAATATTGCTAAGATTAGAAGCATCCTTTCCAGGAGTGATGCTGAAAAACTAGTTCATGCATTTATTACATCAAGACTGGATTACTGTAATCCATTACTCTCAGGAAGTCCACAGAATGTAGTTAAAAGTCTTCAGCTTGTCCAAAATGCTGCAGCTAGAGTTCTGATGAGAATTAAAAAGAGAGATCATATCTCTCCTGTCTTAGCTTCCCTGCATTGGCTACCTGTTAAATTCAGAATAGATTTTAAGATCCTCCTTCTCACATATAAAGCTCTTAATAATCAAGCTCCATCATACATCAGTGATCTGATTGTTCCATACGTTCCTAACCGAGCACTTCGCTCTCAGACTGCAGGTCTACTGGTGGTTCCCAGAATATCTAAAATTAGGATGGGAGGCAGATCTTTTAGTTATCAGGCTCGTCATGTAAGTTTAAATGACACCTCATTGGAGCACTTCCTGAACTTGAAACGATTTTAAACTTTTGTTGTTCAAACTGCAGTTCAAACAGTTTTCAGTAAAATTAATAAACATCATTTGCTTAATGAAAAATGCCCTAAAGGTTAAAGAGCTGTAAAACATTCTAACTTGGATGAAACAACATTACGTCTGAGCATCTCCCTACAACTCATCCTGTTAGTTTAAGGACTTTAACACATTCATGGGTAAATATCTAAAATGGTCTCCAGGACGTCTCCAGCAGCATTTATTCCGTTAATTAGACGAGCGAGCTCGGATTCAGGAGTTTTACAGATGATTCTGTGTGAAAACACCTTGCAGGGTGGTGTTTGTGGAGGCTGATAACCCAGAAGAAAGCCTTCCTGCCGCCGTGCATGAATCAGATAGCTGCTGCTGCTTCTGCCTCTGGAGCTTTGAGACGTGAAGCCTTCACTCTTCTGACTTCAGCTGGTCAGAGATTAGGATGCAGGATGGATTCTGATTGTCTCACATTCTTGATCCGAGCTGCATCCTCTTTACTTTTACTTATGTAATTCTTTTTCAGACACATTCTTCATCTTTTCAGCTCTCTTTCATCCTTTTTATTCTTTTTTCCTTTCATCTTTCTAGCCCTCCTCTTCCCTTAAACTGCATTATGTTTGGGATTTTTTTCCACTTTCCTTTGCTTCCTTCTGTAAGACTGATTCTACCTGTTTATTCTTTCACTTTTAAATCTTCGTGTTTTTTTAGCCTGCTAATAACCTGTAAATATATCTGGTCCTCCAGCAGGAACCCGTAAACACGTCTTAATCTGTTGCGATTTCCTAAAATTTCCCCTCAGAGCAACATTTGCATTCATCAAAATTCATTTGCCTCTTCTCAGAGTTATTCTGCATTTCATTTTGTTGTCCTAGTTTGGCAGAAGTCTCAGCAGAATGAATCAGTTCAGACGTGTTTGAGTTTAGAAAGTGAATTCCTGGTCAAACGTGACATGTCCCGTGCCCCTCTGGTCCCGAGCCCCCTCCTGTTCTCACTCCAGGTTCTCCCCTCGTGTCTCATTATGAGCCCCAGCTCTCTCTAGGCTTCCCTGTTTCCCCCAGTCACTTCCTGGTAGTTCCTATTTGGTTTTGTATTCGTCCTCCTCTAGTTATTAGTTGTTAATATTTGCCCTTAGTCTTTAGGTTTAGTTTTTCAGTGTTTTATAGCTTAATGTCTATCTTTCCTCCTGCTTAGTTCTTTCGCCCGTTTAGGTTGCTGATGGCACCTGTTTTCCCTCCAGATCTCACTCCTCACACCTGTTCCCCTGATTACCTCCTTCTGTGTTTAAAAACCCCGTCTTGTCCCTCAGTGTTTGTCGGTCCATTGTCTTTTGTCATCGTTGTTTTTGTCCCCCTCTAGTTGCGATAGATCCTGGCTCATGTGAGAGCTTTTGTTTTTGTCTACAGAACTTCAGATTTTTGACCTCGTGTCCTATAGTCTTTGTTTTTTTCCAGTTCTCCTCCTAATTTAAGGATTTTTTATTTAAACGACCTCTCCTGCCTCGAGTTGTGGTGTTCTCTCTTGGTCAGCTTGCTTCTCACACCAAACCTTCTGTCAGGAATCTTGGCGTGACCTTTGACCCAGCTCTCACCCTGGATTCTCATGTCAGTTCTCTTGTTCGCTCTTCCTTCTTCCATCTCAGGAACGTTGCTAAGCTGAGTCCCATTCTGTCCCGCTCTGAACTTGAGACAGTTCTCCACACCTTCATCTCCTCACGCTTAGACTACTGTAACTCTCTTTTCACGTGTCTGAGCAGAACCTCCCTGAACCGTCTACAGGTGGTTCAGAACGCCTGTGCTCGGCTTCTGACCAAGTCCTCCAAACACACCCACATCACCCCGCTTCTCCTCCAGCTTCACTGGCTGCCAGTCAACTTCAGGGTTCATTTCAAGATCCTGGTTCTGGTCTATAGGGCCTTACATGGACAAGCACCATCTTACATTGGTGATCTTCTTAGTCCCTACACCCCCAGCAGGTCCCTGAGGTCCAGTGATCAAAGCCTACTGGTTGTGCAGCACCAGGCTAAAGGTCAAAGGTGACACATCATCTGCTGCTGTGGCCCCCAGACTCTGGACCTCTCTCCCCCTGAGCCTGAGATCAGTGGACTCAGTGGTCTCCTTTAAAAAGCAGCTGAAGACTCACTTGTTCAAGCTGGCTTTTGTATGACCTTCTTCACCTCTCTCTCTTTATTCTGCTCTCCCCACCTACTCCACCTTCCTCAGGATCCACTGATTTCCCTCTTTCCTGTTCACTCTCTCTCTTTCTTAACATTTTTAATCCCAATTGTCTAATTTTTGCTCATTTTAAATATATTTTAAAACATTTTCTAAATGATTTTTTATATTTTTACATTTTTTTGTTTTTGTGAAGCGCCTCGTGATTTTTATCTTGAGAGGCACTATAGAAATAATATTTTCTTTTTCTTCTTCTGCATTTTGGGTCCAATCCTCCTGCGCTCGCAGCGAGACAAAACGTTTCACTTGGCTTTTCTGGTGATTTTACTTGTAATGAAAAGATAAAATCTATTTGGATGAACATATTGTTTTCCGGGGATTATTGTTGGAATGGCATTTTGAGTCAAATTCTGCATCTTTATCATTTTTTTCTATTACAAATGTTCTTTTTATTACAAAATAAAGTTTTTGTTGACGTTAAACAGTTAAGTTGACTGGAAAACGTTTCAGAGGTTTTATCTTTCACGAACTCCTTGATGCTTTAGACCCGCAGAACCCGCACCGAGCACAGCCTCACCTTGTGTCTGCAGACCGATGAGCAGAAGCAGAAAAGTCCACATCGCCACGAGCTTCATTCCCCCTCAGAAAATTAGGATCCACTTCACTTTTCTTACAGCTTTCCCCAAACGAGCCGGAACGCGTCCGTTCACGCCGTTTATTCTCTAAAATCTCTGGATAAAACCCAAATCCGACTCCCCCCGGTGCCGACCCGCTCGCTGTGTCGGTGAGCGCCTTCTGGACCGGATCCGAACCTGACCGGGTTCGTCCCTCCCTCGTGGGCGCAGTTCTCCCCGCTGACGCACGTGGGGAGGGATTTAGGCTCAACCCGAAACTTCAGCTTGATTTTAACTTTAAATACGTTTAATTGTTTTATATTTCTTTGATTTTTAATCCCAGAAGGTAAATGCTTGATCCTGTTGGTGTTTGTGTGTTTTTCGTTTCGAGGTTTAGAAAGTTTCTTGTTTCTGCAGTAAAGACCCGACAGATGTGGGAATAAATGAGTTGTAGAAACAGAACAGATCGTTTCAGCACCGCGGAGAGCGCTAATGAGCGGCGCTCAGCGCTCTCCGCGGTGCTGAAGTCCCTGGCACCAACTTTCCCTCCGATAATCGCTCATTCTGACACCGTTTTGTTGCACCTGACGGGTTGACACGTGTAAAGGTGAATCCCAGATGTACGCTGCTGTGTCTTTCTGCAGCCGCTAAACAGCAGCACTGCGCTGCGCTGCGCTGGAGACAGGAACCGAGCGGTTTCGCAGGAGATCACCAGCTTCCCAAAAATACTTTTCATTAGCTTCCGATTTCACACGCTCGGTTTCACGTCATAAAACGAAACAATGCAGTTCGCTGCAGAGCAGCGCTGTGGCGGGAAAAGAGAAACGAGCTGCAGCTGTGGCGGGAAAAGAGAAACGAGCTGCAGCTGTGGAGGAAAAAGTCCGGATTCCTGCTAAGAGGAAATAAAACTGGATCAGGTTTTTATTTGGATTTTACCAAATGTTTGAAGTGTCCTTAAATCATTCTGAACAAGATGAACGGCGCATGAGAGCCGAACATCTTCATGTTTATGAGAGAAATCCTCTCCAGAGTGTTTTGATCTGTTGATCCAAAAACCGCTATCCTCCAGTTTATTAATAAAAAGGTTTTGTGCTAAAATTTATCTGAAACATTTACACATGCCTCAAAATATCTGAGTGTTTTTTTGCAGGCTGAACATGAAAATAGTCTCCTACACCTGTCTCCTGCATCAGCTGCTGATAGAAAACAGACGGTGAAACTCTAGGGTTAGAAAATCCTGACAGATCTACGTCACCCTGTCACTTAACATTCATGGACTCGCCAGTCTTGACTCACGACGGGGAAGGCTGTTGTTGTTTTGGTGTCCAGGAAACAGCAGAGATGGTCTCGGCTAGTAGAATGTAACCGTTAGCATTAGCGACTCTGACACACAGCAGAACTTCTCCAGACTTGTGTTATTTGTGGAAATAAAACATCAACGTTGCAGAGCAAACATAGTCAGTGGTAGAGCTGTGTTGCTGTTATCCAATCAGAGGTGAGATGTCCAAATGTCAGGACATGAGACTCCTATCAGATATGTCTCATGCCATGTCTGATGTGGATCACTTCTAGTTCCTGAAACAGCCGCACCGGAGCCTTGTTGCCCCAATGAAGACATTCAGACCACTGTGAATGTATTAAAAATAGGGTAAAGTTGATGTTTAAAGAAACATATTCATTTTTTTTCTCTACTAAATATATATATATATTCTTTTTGTGAAGGATAAAAATAAGTTATTTGACTTTTGCTGTTAATTATTCAATAAGGGCTGCATGATGGAGAGGTCAGTAGCACTGCCACCTCGCAGCGAGAACGTTGCATGTCCTTCCCATGCATGTGTTGGGTTTTCTCTGGGTACCCCTGCTCCTTCCCATAGACCAAAAACATATAAGATGTGTTAACTGGAGACTCTGAACCGGCTCTAAGGGTTGTTTCTCTCCGTGTGTCCCTGTGATGGACTGGAGATCTGTCCAGGGTGTCAACCGTCTCTCCCCCTTTAACTACTGGAGTTTGGCCCCAGCTCCACCACGGCCCTCATCACCATGTTCATGTTGGTGAGTAGTTCCCTGAAAGTCCCAAAAGGCTGAAGCCCTCCAGTTCATCCTGACTTTGAAGGTTGTGGAAACCGTGTCGGAGATGTTTCTGTAGTAGAACATGCTTCAGTCTGAGATGATTTTGCTGGAAGTGAAAGCTGTTTGAGCAGAACGTGGTTTAGATAATAACCGTGTGTGTGTGTGTGTGTGTGTGTGTGTGTGTGTGTGTGTGTGTGTGTGTGTGTGTGTGTGTGTGTGTGTGTGTGTGTGTGTGTGTTAGCAGCAACACACACACACACACACTTCATGCCACGGGCTTCCCTTCACCGTCAGGTTCATCGTCCAGGATAAACAACGTTAACCTTTTGTGGCGAGGATCCGGTTCATTAAGTTGTAAACAGCTCACCCACAAAAGCCCAAACAAACCCGGATCCAGTGCACGACGCCGGAACCAGACGAACGAGCGGAGGGATTGTGAGCTCCTCGTGAGGCAGCAGGAGGGTCGAGGAGGACGTGTGACAGAAACAAACACAAACAGAAAACCTCCAACAACCAGAACCTGCAGCACAACCACCACCGCGACGCGTCTTCCTGTCAGCGGCTCCTTCCTCCTCATCTAAACAAGCAAAACCATCAAAACAGTGTTGCGTCTGTTTTCCTTCTCCTCTACTTCATCAGCAGGAGTCAGTTGTCCACGTTTGATCCGAGGAGGAAGAGCTGCACGAGGAGGATGAGATGATCTCCACATGGTTAATGTGCTTTTGCTGTTGCCTTCTGACAAGCGCCATGCTCACAGTGTGGCGTCATGACACGCCTGTCTGCTTCAGCCGTGTTAGAGCAGGAAGCGGGCGTGAATCTGTGTTTCTGCCAGGACGGGTCTGTGTGGCGTTCCATAACTTCTCCTGCCCTGGAATGTTTAATTCATGCCCGTTTTTGTAAAGAGTCCAGGATCCTCTCGGATTTTCTTCCGTTTCGTGCTCTCTGCAGCCTTTTACCTCACACATACCTGCGGCACACTTTATTCCTGAACCAGCTCTCTCTCATACATCCTCCTCTTCAGCCATCTTTCTTCCTCCAGTAAAACACAACACCTAACAACATCCATCAGCCTCGCCGGGTCTTTTAACCCACGCTGAATTATTCACATCCACATATCTGCACCACATCTCCTGACCCAGAGAAGTGCTTTTACTCCGAACCCTGAGTGAAAAAATGCTGATGGCCTGTTTTTCCTTTACTCTCCCTGGCATGATCATCCCACCGACGTGAGGGTGATGGAGTGGAGGTGATGAGAGGCTTCTGGGAGCTTCCAGGAGGAAGGGATGTAAATATGATGTCTT